TTTATTTATTTATTTATCCAATTTATTCAATTTTTACCCCACCCCTCTAGACAACGTCTACTCGGGGCGGCTTACAAAAATTAAAACACATTAAAACAATGTAGAAAATAACTAGCATAATGCAATGGCATGCTCATAGGGGCAGAGCGTGTTCTGCGGCGGTGCTCTCGGGTGCTTGTGTGCATGTGTACGGTTGCAGGGGGTGCCCATGCAGATGCACGCAGTGCACTTGCAGGGGGTGGAGCATGCAGGGAGAAGATCTGTGTCCGCGGCCCAGTCCTGCTTAGGCTGTGGACCGCTGCCAGGTCATGGACCGGGGGTTGGGGACCCCTGCTTAAGGGATATAAAGCAACATGTTAGCTAGAGGAGGGGTCCTCAACCCTGGTCCGTGGCCTGGTGCTGGTCCGTGGCCTGGGCCATACTGAGCCACAGAGACAGATCTCCCACACTCCCCCCGCACAGCTCCTGCACGCGTGAGCGCGAGTGCATGCGCCCCCTGCAAGCACCCCCTGCAAGCACCCCTTCACGCATGTGTGCCTGAGTGCTCCCTACCCCTTCTGCATACATGCAAGTGTGCCCACATAAGCGTCCCCTGCCCCTTCAAGCATGCACACGAGCACGGGGGGCCCACCTTCCCCCAAGCAGTCCCCGTCTCAAAAATTTTGGGAACCACTGAGCTAGAGCATCAATATATATCATATCTCTCTGTGTCAATGATCTTCCCAGTGGTACCTGAATATTGTGCTCTGAAGCAATCTGCATTTTTAAATTTCTTTTAGAAATGCTTATATTTTCCCCTTATAAAAGTGAATTCTAGAGCCACAGCCAAGAAAATACTTTATCTAAAACAATTTTCATAAACCATTTAATCATTTTTTTCTCCAGAAATTTCCAGGAGAAATCTATGTAGGAACACTTTGTAGATACAAAAGGTTGTATGTTCCGGTATGCAGACATGGTCACGAAGCTCATCACTGTAGCCACCAGTGCAACTTCACATTTAAGTCTTGGACTTGGTGATTGTGCTGACAGTTAAGTTCAGGGCCAGATGGTAATTTGGTAAATGAAAATGTCATTTGGCAAGTGGTTTGGTAAGTGTAATTTTTGTAAAGAAACCATAGTGAGTCTTTCTACACTAAAAAGGATACAAAAAGGTATACTCTTGTTTGGGATAATATATGGTAGTAGTGCATTTGTGATTGCTAATTATTAGTAATAATTATTAAGAGTTTTACAATATAATATTAAACAAAAACATAAGGAAAGAGGATATGAATCTAACACAGATGCTTAAGATATCTGCCCACTTACTTAGCATATAAATATGCAAGTTCCTGTATTCCTCTTAGTACTTGTTATTGTCCTATTGATGTTTGCTTTGTTGTTTGTTTTCCCCCTTACAGTTTTTATATTTGTGCTTCGGTTCTTGCTTTATATTAGGCAGCTCCATTTCTTTGGCGAAAGTTATCACAGGAGACAGATTAACACTGGTTAACGGTTTAATATCTTTTAACAGTGTAGCATGACCAAGAACATCTGTGAGTCCATTGGGACCAGTAACCATAAACATTTCAGTCCACATTTCTTATAACCCAGACATTGTTAGAGAGTTCTTTAACCTGGGGACATTCCAAATCTCTCACGATCAGTAGGTTTCCATAGAGGTTGGCTCCTCAACACACAAAGAGTCCTGCAACAGGGGTGTCAAGCTTAGTCGCCCTTGGGAAGTGTCGAACCAGTAGGGATCGGGTCCGGACGTGCCGCCTTCTTCTGAGGACCTTTCCCTCTCAGGTAGACATCTACAGTCCATTCTAAAGGTTCTAGCTCTCCCAACTGTACCTCTGTTCCTGCGCTCTTTCTCCTTAGGGTTTCTCTTTCCCACTGCCTGTATTTTCTGAGGGAAGGAAAACACTGAGGGCCCTTCAGTGCCTCATGCTGGCAGCTTTCCTGTCTCCTGTCTCTGGTTCTCCTAATCCCCAGCTTTTCTTCTCCCTCTTTATACCATCTCCCCAAGCTATATCTTTTTCCTTCTCCATCATTAAAAAGCCTTCAACTAGTGACTGTTCCTTTCCCGCCATCTGCTTCCCACTTTTCTCTCTTCTAATTTCCCACGTTCTCCTTCCAAAGTCATAGTTTAGACCATGGAAGGCAATAAGGTAAAGACCGTGGTGAGCCCTTGTGACTTAGACGAGTGAGGGGGCAGCTCACTTCTAGATTTAGCCACTTTTGCTGGTTCCTCTGCACAATATTATTTGGTTTTAACCTTGTAAGCTGCCTTGGGTCCTTCTAAGGAGGAAGGTAAAGGTTCCCCTTGACATTTAGTCCAGTTGTGTCCGACTCTAGGGCGCGGTGCTCATCCGAGTCTCCAAGCCCTAGAGCCAGCATTTGTCCATAGACAGTTTCCGTGGCCACAAAAGGCAGTGGTAAAGAGCTGTATAAAACGACTCAATTTTTTCTCAAATTATTTAAGGAAGGTGTATAAAACGACTCTCAATTTTTTCTCAAATTATTTAAGGAAAAAGTGTCATTTTATACATGGAAAATTACAGTAGCTTTTTTCTTATTCTCCTGAAGTAAAGCACCTGCTGCACTATGGAACCTTCTGATTATAGAGGACCAAATTTATTTATTTATTTATTTATTTGATTTATTTGTTTTATTTATTTGATTTATACCCCGCCCATCTGGCCTAAAAGACCACTCTAGGCAGCTTCCAGTGAATATAAACAATAAAATAATACAAAGAATTACATGAATCATATTATAACATACACAATGCAAAAATGGAATAAAAATAAATAAAGAGAAAAATAGAATACCGATAAACAGAGAAAAATCAGGTGTTAGCTGGAGGGAAGGCCTGAATGTATAGCCATGTTTTTAGTTGACTTTTAAAAGTGCCCAAAGTGGGGGCCGCGCGAATCTCAGGAGGGAGATTATTCCAGAGGTGAGGAGCCACCGCCGAGAAGGCCCGGTTTCATGTCTTTTCCTTCTGGGCCTCTCTCGGCATCAGGCTCTTCAGCCTCACCTCCTGGCTCGCACGGGTGATCCGGGTAGATCTTGGTGGGAGCAGGCGTTCTGCCAAAAATCGAGGTCCTAAACCGTTTAGGGCCTTATAAGTGAGCATTAAAACTTTAAAGTCGATGCGGAAACGAATGGGCAGCCAATGCAGCATGGCCAGCGTGGGAGAAATATGCTGGTATTTTCTCACTCCAGTGAGGAGTCTGGCCGCTGCATTCTGCACCACTTGAAGTTTCCGCATCAGCCTCAAAGGCAGCCCCACATAGAGTGTGTTACATAATCTTATGATTATGAGCGCATTTACCAAGGTAGTGAGCGCCCCTGTGCCGAGATAGGGCCGCAGCCGGGCAATCCGCTATAGGTGGAAAAAGGCGGTGCGGACTACCGACGCCACCTGTGTTTCCATGGTAAGCGTCGGGTCCAGATGGATATCCAGGCTGCGAACCCCACTCTTCGCGGCCAGGGTCACCCCCCCAAATGTGAGTCACGCACGCGCACACACACACCTACTAATTTTGGTGGAAGATCTTGCGACAGAGATTTTCAGTTTTCTTTATCCTTTTGAATTACCAGTGCCATAGACAGACACAATCAAATGTTTATTAGCTATTCAGATTTGCAAAATCATATCCACTATCTCCCATACCCATATAAACATTTGCATCTCGTTTTTACTGTTTTTCTTATTCTACAATATAGGACTTTTCTTTTTGTGAGAGATGGCAATCCAAATAAGCGAAATATACACAATGAGACGTCTATGCACTTGCTTTGTATGGGACCACAGATAATGATATCTGATGGCGCTCTTCAGCCTCGCTTGACACGGCCCTTTGAAGATGATTTCAGAAGAGCAGATTGTCTGCAGATGATCTTAAAATGGAAAGGAGCAAAGCTTGACCAAGGGGAATATGAAAGAGCAGCGATTGATGCTGTCGATAACAAAAAAAATACACCTTTGCACTATGCTGCTGCCTCAGGAATGAAGACCTGTGTAGAGGTACATTTTACTTAAATATATGCCGATATTAATTGCAGAACATAAACTTGTTTTCAGAAAACAACCAAGGTGGTGAAGAAGACCCACATTAGTTAACATATTACTGCTTTAAAGGCATGTATTATTCTATCCAGAACAGAATTGAGGTGCATGGGGCTTCAGATATTGGTGGATTGCAATTTGCATAGTCTCTCAGCATTAGTTATGCTTGCTGCCCTGAACAAAAAAAAGAGAGAAAAATGACAAAAATATTGTCACAGCATTTTGTTTGTTACATGAAAATACTTGTAAATAACGTCTCTGTGTATCCTGCCTTTATTCCATGAAGGAACTCTAAGCAGTACATATCAGATGGTCTCCCATTCGGACATTCACCAGACACAGTTCTGTTTAGCTTCAGCAAATTGGTTGTATTAACATAAATAATTTACAGAGACCTAAAAAGGATGTACAAAGGTATCTTTGCAGTGTTGCTTTCAGCTTTTGCACTTAAGTGCAGTCTGGTAATTGTCCTCCAGACTAATTGAAATGAATCCTAACAGAAGGACAACAGTTTGTATGCTCCTTTTTTAAAGGAGTTTTTACACAATCTTCTCGGATTGAGTTGTCTGTTTCACTTGCTGACTTCTTGTTATCTGCAGTTTTTTGAAACTGCATAAAATTTGGGGCCAAGAGTCCACCAGAATAATTAATGAAGATTTAGATTAAAAACAGTTCTTCATTAGTTATCTTAGTTAAGTATCCAAGGCTTATTTGTACTGATGTTTCTTTTTCAGCTGCTAGTAAAACATGGTGGAGATTTGTTTGCAGAGAATGAGAATAAAGATACTCCCTGTGATTGTGCAGAGAAGCAGCACCACAAAGAACTGGCACTTAATCTAGAATCCCAAATGGTGTTCTCACGAGATCCTGAAGCTGAAAGCATTGAAGCAGAATATGCCACTTTAGACAGAAGAGAGGTAAAATAAAATTAATAATTGGTAACTCTGACTGGAGGTACGTATACATAATGTGCACTTTGTCAGAACAAGCCTGATTCACAACAATATTGAATGTTTATTCTGAAGTTATTGGGCTATATCTCTTTCCAGGAATGAGCACCTTCACTTCAGAACACAGGGAGCTAAGTTGTTTCATGCAGCAGTAAGCTTTGAAGTACAGTGATTATGGTGACAGTCCTTATAGCAGTACCCCCAAGCAGGATTGAAAAATACAGGCAGCAATGTTGATCCATCTCAGCAAAGCTAGTGGTTTTAAGCACTTTCAAGAACGTGCATTCTGCATAGCTAACAGTTCTTAATTGGACATTCAAGACCAAACCACTCCACAGTACCTGCCACTAGAGTAGAGATGGCTCACAACACTGTATTAGACAGTATTCTTTTCATGCCATTGTATTACAGAGTTATACTGGTGTAAATATTCCAAGCATTATGCCCATTACCAAATGGATTGCACCATTTAATTGCACAGTCAGCCATGCATCCCCAGCATGACTGATTGTGCAGTGCGCCAGAAGAAATGCTTCCGGGATTGCAATATCACCGTGGATACATCCTTGGGTTGCATGTCCATAGCTGCACATTCAGCCATTGTTTTCAAGTAAATCCTTTCCCCTTCAGCTGATATTGAGATTATGGCTAAACTCAGAGGAAACGAGAGCCTGAAGGGTGATAGATGTTCCAGCTGCTTAAAAATTTCCAGGGCTCTGACCGTGAGACCTGACACCACTTCATTACTGTCCATCTGTAAGTGTTGCCCTAGCTGTTGGCTGTTTTAATTAGCTGCAGTAGGAAAGAGGGGGTCAACATAGCCTTCTGTGAGAAGGCGTTCTGCAGTTTGGGAGCAGCCATTGACAAGGCCCTCCGTTGAGACTCCCCAAGTCTGCCTCTAAGGGCAGCAGGACCAAGAGAAGCCCCCAACCCCCAAATTTAAAAACTGGAATAGAATTGTATACTGTATGTGAATCTCATATGTGGTCCTTCAGATAGCCTGGACTTAAGCTGTGTGGGGCTGTATAGGTCACAACCAGCACTTTTAATTGGATCCAAAAATTAAGTGGCACTAGTTAAGCTAATGCAACAGGTAATTCATAAGCTCCCTGTAACTGGCTGTACAGCTTACCCAAAATGCTGTAAATGGCAGCATTTTGGGTAACCTAAATTTGCCAACACTTTTCAAGAGAAGTCTCAAATGAACTGTGTTATAGGTGAGATGTAATTAAGGCATGTGTCACCATAGCCAGGTCAGACCTCTCAATGAATGTAATCTTTAGCATGCTGATATTCAAAGCCAGACACAGAATGGAGAGCATAACGTAATAATGTATTTATTTTATAAAGAATTTATAAAATATGCAGTGTTTATATCGATTTTTTTGCTGAATTCCAGGGTCCCCAGTAGTTTATTTATTTAATTATTTATTTAACTTAGATGCCGCCCACTCAGTAATAATGTATTTATTTTATAAATAATTTATGAAATATGCAGTGTTTATATAGAATTTTTGCTGAATTCCAGGGTCCTCACTAGTTTATTTATTTAATTAATTATTTATTTAACTTAGATGCCTCCCACTCTACCCAAAGGTCTCTGGGCGGCTTACAACAATAAAAATACAATAAAAATCCAATAAAAAGATAAAACAATTAAAATACAATTAAAATAGATACTCTAGTTGAAAGCCATTGCTTGTTCTAGCAGAGCACCTCACTTCAATTTCCCTGCAACATATTTCACCTAGACAACCTATGGACTTTTTTTATTTTTTTACTTTACATTGATGGAAATGACAACATACTTTGCATTACAAAAAAGAGGGATATTTTGGGGGACAGAAATGCTCCCTCCCCCTTTTTTTGGTCATGCAAGGCATGTTTATAATAGGTTTTTTGTTTTGTTTTTGTTTTATAAAGAAAACTTGAGTAGCAGATAGCCAGAAATTGGTGGCTTCTGAATCAAGTCTGAGTCAAAGTGCAATAGTCTGAGTTCAGGCAACTTGATGCCTGAGTCGAGGCAGATCTGGTGACTTTATTTTCACAGCATTTCTAGATAGTTCACCGAGGGTGGTGTAGTGTCATTGGCAAATGTTTGGAAGTTTCATGGTGCCCCAGTCAAACATTTGAGCTACCTTTAGTAAGTAATAGAAGGTTGCCTAATCCTACAATTACAGTTCAAGAGAGGGAGATTGCAACTGAGTTTGAACAGAGTATTGCAATTTTGAAACAGATAAATCAAAACAGATTTTCTTTTAGAATAGTTACAGATGATAAAAGAGGTATTGAACCAGTACATATATTGAGGAAATCTAATTGTTCATCCCAACTAAAGTAGATCCATTGAATCAATAGGACGTAACGTAAGTGGTGCTTTAACATGTCCATGAATTCAGTGGTTTAAGTCCATTTATTCAGTAGTCCTGTTTTACCAATTGAATTTAGTCTGTTTATTTTATTTTCATGTAGGGCTTTGAATTTGCCACAATTTTCCTGTGGAGAAATGTTTAGTTATTTGTAAATAGTTTAAAATATCGTCAGCACATTGACTTTGCAGCTTAACATAACATGCAAGTGGAGCATATATACATAGTAAAGTACTATGAATATTGCTTCTAGTATAAAAGGAAGCAGAAGGGTAATAATTTACCCTTGCAATTATGTCCCAATAAATACTTTGTCCAATATCCTGTTAAAGTGTGCCTGCAGGTGTGATGCAAATGGTGTAACTTTTGGAAGCCAAGTCACTCAAGTTAAAAATCACCATAGATGTTATCTGTATCACGTGATTTGGTGCCTAACAGGTATATCTGTGGTGAATTCTTAGCTTGAGGTCATTCTCATCTAAATGTTAGGCCATTTGCATTATGTTACCATGAAATCACAATAAGATTTTGTTTATTGATTATAAATAAAGAAAATTCTGTGCTAAACCTGGAAAGGTGGGATTTATTCCATACATCATGACCAATTTCAATTTTTTATTATGGACATTTCCCATGATACGTGTGTGGTCCTTTTCTATGATCTTAGTACCCTGTAGATTTCTTACACTCATTTTCAAAGTTCTTCTATACCTGTTGGGCACAAAATTAGTTATCTACCCAGAAAAATTGCATAAATAGTCCCAGAAAGCCTCCATGAGACATGAATAATAAATCACTTATGACTACTTTGTATCCAGAAAAACCTGAAAAGAGTTGAAATTAGTAGGAATTGACTTATCATTTTGCCCATGCTTGTTATAGACAGTGGTGGTTGCCTATTTTAAAAAACCCAAGAGATTACATCATATTAGGGATTGCTAGCATTTTTTGCTGTTTGCCTCATACATTATTTCTAAATAAAATATTTATTTCTACTATAACATTTATAACCAATAATTTTTTCCCATTTTGCAGCCATATGAAGGACTTCGACCTCAGGATCTAAGAAGGCTGAAAGATATGCTGATAGTAGAATCTGCTGACATGCTTCAGGCCCCTCTTTTTACTGCAGAAGCTTTACTTCGAGCGCATGGTAACTATAGAACAATATAATATTTAGTCAATTTTAATAATAGTGCTTCTGACAAAATATATTAATATTTTTCTTTCCTGTGATTTCCTAATAAAAAGAAATGACGCTATTATTAAATGCAAGCTGCTAAAATACAGTATTTCATTTTGTTTATACATTACTTAAGGTAGTCCTTGAGCTGCTAATTTGGTGTATGGCTGGTCCCTGATGAGACTGTGATTACTGCTTCCCTGAACACATGAAATGATAGGAATATTCAGCTTGGACTCTGTGCAATGAAAATTAGCCAGGAAATTATTTTCTCTATGAGATTTAAGATTTGGCTTTTTGTTTCTTCTATTTGGATGGTCTAACAATACTGTTCGGTAGATTGTTCTTTGTATGGGACTTTTATATGTTAGATTTCTGGAAGCTAACCTGCAGAAAAAAATGTGAAAGTAGGCTTTAACTTATATTAGCTATTTTGAATCTTATCTGAATCATGTCCCAAAAGCTCATTTTAGGTTTATCCATTTAAATCAAGCCTGGAGAAGGATGCCAGTTGTGGTAGTGTGAAACTGGTATAAGCAAGTTTTCTTTGTGAAGTGTCATGGCAGAGGACATCAGATTATTGATTTCCCAGTTAGGTTTAAGTTGTCTTACAGTGCAGAAGTCACATTGCAGCAGGTGAAATGCTGTAATGTAACAAGGATGGAGAATCTCTTGCCTGTAATGACTTTCTTTGTTGAAGGAGCAGTTCCTGAAAAAGTAATCCCTCCTTGCCATTGTTTTCCAGTAAGCTTAGTTGTTGGAGGGGATCATGAGAATAGGAGGAACAAACCTTGTCATGATTTCTCCTTCTTTTGCGTTTTATATATACTTTGTATTCACATGAATCATGTGTGTGTGTGAACTTGGAAGTCTCAAATTCTAGACCTTGATAAGAAACTTCTCTTGCTCCTCCCTATTTTAGAAATGCCTCCTGTGGACTCCACTGCTACTCCATATAGAGAGTGCATCTTTCCGGTGTTTCCAAGATGAAGGAAATTATTCTAGAATAGAAAAGTAGTTACTTTCTTAACAAGTCATGTACTGTATAGTTCTCAGTATTACAACAAGGGCAGTGTAACGCCAAAACATTTCCAAGTTGACAAGAATGTCTTTACAGAGACCTTATGAGGCAGCCATATATGAAACAATTTGATCTGAATCTGTTAGTACATCACAGCTGTCTGTCTGGTACCTAAAGACTCCTTGATGGTACAGTATTAAAGCATCCTGCCAAATAGTAGAAGGCCCTGCCAAAATTATGAGCTTCAGAAAGAGAAAATCTATCTAGATTGATCACTGTAATGAGGAGTTGGCTTCAAACAAATCTCAACGGAACTTGGGAAGTGTGTTTTCACAGCTTTCCTAATAATACCTTTCAGAAATATCCCCTTTATTGCCTGACATGAAATTAATCACAAGTATTTAGAGTCCACGTACATGATTTTTTTTAAACATTCATATACATTAAAGGTTCAAGTCCATTTTTGGTTGCAAAATAACATTCAATTCAATAAGAAAATAGTTTAAAGTAGTTTAAAATAGTTTTATTTTAACATTTCATGCACACAGAATCAATCATATGTTAATGGTTGTTACTATAAAATGTAAAACTTTTTGTTTCGAACTAGCCAGATATTTGTTAACTCTCAGGTGAAGTTTGGATGTTACATTTCTTTCCATAAATGGTGTCAAACTCCCATTCTGAAGCGTTTCCCCCCACTCTTCATAGGAGTGTAACAAAGCAATCAAATTAATAGACAAACTGAAGGAAAGTTTACAAATACACTGAAGCAATGCCTGTTGTTCACTGGGCCAAGTCCTGTTGTGTCACCTCCTGAAAGAGGTGAAGGGGATGGCATGTCGAAAGTTACACTGGGGTAATTGGATCTGATAGCAGAAATAATAAAATTAAATGAATTGAAAGCTTCCTATTCCCCCCCCCCCCGTTTCAGGTTCTAAGGCTTTCTTCTGAGGAGCCTTTAATAGTAAAAAGATAAATCCCAATCCTGATGGTGGCAAGCCATTGGTAATTTTTAATTGCTAGAGTGACGAAGAATGGGAGGAGCCTGTCAGGAACAATGTTTTTTTCTGAACTCCCACTGAGGCGCTGCCATCGTCGTCCATGCCGTGGGGGAGCAGGCCTGGTAGTTGGGACTCGTCAGCCTTGGGAGGCAGCCCATCTAGCAGAAGGAAAACTCCGATTTCAAACCTCCACTGCCTTGTGGCTGTATCCACTGATGGAAAAGGCTTCAGGAGTCAACCTCCAGGCAAAATCCAGAGCCGGAGGCAGTTTGTGTCGTTCTGTCAACTCCTGCGACGTCGCTGGAATCAGTTGTATTGGCTCTTGCCTTTCCACTGGACTAATTCAGTGATGTGGGGAGGGGGGAGCTTGCTGCTTGGGTAACAGCCTATCCTCCATATTATTTTACCCATGCTTCATGCCCTGGAGAGGACACTCCAGCTTTGCATACAGCGTCGAAACACTAGACGCTGTTCCAAGTCCTCGATACAGAGCACGTTACCATAGTCTCTCAAGACTGAAGGATGCCTGCCCCCTGTCTTGAGACTCCCAAAAGCCTCTCTAAGGCAAAGGGAGCCCTAGGAAGCATCAGAACCTGAGAGTGGGGAACAGGAAGCTTTCCATTCATTTAAGTTACATATGTCTAGTGCAGGATCTGGTTTACATGGCACAACTTTATATGGCACAAGAACTGGATTTTACCCACTGTATAGTTGAAAACGTGCTTTAAAAAAACGTTGCAAACTTCCCATGGAGGACCCACATTCAGTCCTTAGGCTCTCTCTATAAAGCTACTATCAGCCATTGGGTGAACCAGTGGTCAGAATTCCAGTGTTTGGTCTATCCAGCTCTTTAAAGCTCATATATCCTTTCAGATCCTGTAGAATTCTACTGAAATGCCACAATTACTTCATATTTATTAGCTGTATTTTGCCATTTCACGCAATGGCAAAATTTGTCATTAGGTATTGTTTTAAAGAAAGTATATTAGTATATTAATATTCTGTGTTTCTGCCTGAGCTTGAAAACAGTCCAGGAAGGACTGATTACCACCCCTCACTACCAATTTTGCAAAATGTATTTTCAAAATACAAAGCTCTTTTGAATTAAAAAAAAGACTAATGTATCATACTAATGTGATCTATGGAATCAAATATTCTACCATTGTACGCATTTTTTTCCTATGTTGAACTCTGTTATACCAGTGGACACCCAGTGCCTGAACAGGTGAAATAAACTGCTTCTCTTTTGGTTGCTTCTTCCTTCTATGAAAGAATAAAACGCTGAAATTCCTTCCCATGGGAAGACAGACTGGCCCCATTGTTGCTGTCTTTCCACAAGCAGGAAAATACCTTCCTTTTCAGGCTTTTCCTTAGTGACTAATTGTCTAAGAGAGATTTTAAAATGAGATGGTTCACATTTTGTTGCTTCTAAATTTGTTTACGTAATGCTTTACCTAACATTAATATAATGTGTTTAATATTTGAATAATTCACTTTTTAGCTTTAACATGGTGTTTTAATTATGTAATCCATCTCGGGTCCTTTCTTAAGAGAAAGACAGAGTAAAAATATTAGAAATAAATAAACTAGCTCAGTGATTGCCAAAATCCTGTTATGTAGCTACATCTCTGTAACTTGAAGTTGCACAAGCATTTGCACAATCAGGCATACATTGCTTACTGCTTAACATAACCCTCCAAATTTCTGCAGGTGTAATTTTACACTGTGCCAAGTGCAGTAGATTTCAGTTGACATTTCTCTCCAGTCAAGTAAAAAAGGATATTTCAAGAAGAACCCTTAATATACTAAATGTTATAAAAACATTTATTATTCATGTTGCATATACAAAAATTTTGTAAGCAGGGTGTCTAACAGCTTAAAATTGGTATTTATGTTCTCTCCACTTGTACTAATCTTAAATTTTACACACACGCACTGACTGTTCTTTATGCTTCCATTCTTTTATTTAAGACTGGGACAGAGAGAAGCTACTTGAAGCTTGGATGTCTAATCCAGAGGATTGCTGCCAACGCTCAGGTGTTCAAATGCCAACTCCACCTCCAAGTGGATATAATGCCTGGGACACACTTCCTTCACCAAGAACTCCTCGGACTACTCGCTCTTCTATCACCTCCCCAGATGAAATTAGTCTTTCTCCAGGGGATATTGAAACAGCTCTGGTATGTTTAATTCTAACATTTTTCCTGTGATACAGTATTTCAGATCAGATTAGGCATCCTTCAGTCTCGAGAGATTATGGTAACATGCTCTTCTGATTAGAGATCTTGGAACAGCGTCTAATGTGGCTGAGAAGGCCAATTCGAGAGTGACAATCCCTTCCACACTGAGGACAAATACAATCTGTCCCCTGTTCAGCTCCCTGATTTTGCTGGTTTGGGGACTGCCTCTTTGCCTCAGCCTGCTGGACAAGTGTCTAGTATTGCAGTATTATTTCCTTGGCAATAACTAATGTTCTGAGGGAATTGTTTGAAGATTATTGAGCACAATTAAGAAATTACCATTGTATCTCACGTTTCTGGGTTGCAAAATATATCTTGTTACTGATGGTGCAGAATCAATCTGATTTCGGTATTGCTCATCTGGTGATGTCCATGTGTAGAGTCACCTCTTGTGTTGTTGGAAAAGAGTGTTTGTGATGACCAGCTTTTTCTCTTTACAAAACTCAATTAGCCTTTGCCCTGCTTAGTTTTGAACTCCAAGGCCAAACTTCCCTGTTGTTCCTTTTATCTCTTGACTCCCTACTTTAGCATTCCAGTCCCCTATAATGACAAGAACATCTTTCTTTGGTGTCAGTTCTAGAAGGTGCTGTATGTCTTCATGGAATTGGTCAATTTCAGCTT